CGGATCGAGACAGTAATGAAACATGCAAGATAATCCGGAACTCCCAGGCTAGGGCGAGTGAAAGCACCTAGAGTCCCGAGGCTAGTGTCAGTAAAAGCTACCAATCCGCATCCAGGCGGCTTTGCCAGGCAGAAGCCAATGCGCACCCGGTCCAAAATAATCCCCCCAATGTTACAAATTCTGTTGTGTTTCATGGCTCCAGCCTGCGAATATCCAATTCTCCATGCCGTTCCAATTCTAAATGCGGCCCTAGCCTGGGAATTCCAAATCTAGACCGCTAGACCCTGAAATTCCCACATCCGGACTCCCCTCGGACCTCCCTCGGACGCCGCGTTCCTGCTCCACATGTCCGCGTTCCAACTGCAAATGCACGCCCTACCCTGGTAATCCGGCATTCGTGCCAATCGCCTCATGCCGATCCTACTCTACCTGGGCCCTAATTCAACATGCCTTTGAATCTACTCATTTGGGAACTTTTTGCTCAAAACTGGAAATTTTTGCGGCCGGGGAATTCTTCATATTAATCGGGGTTTTATTAAACGGATGAAGCGGTTAAATATGTCTATGTATCATATATGTATATACATATATACATATGGTTTTATTTGTTCATTTCGTTTGTTTACTACATGTACACGTACACATGCATGCATGCATGCGTTCACACACACAACCGCAAGTGGAAGTGTTGGTGTGCATTTTCTATATATATGCACGAAGATATATATATATATATATATATATATATATATATATATATGTACATATACATATATACATATTCATATATACATATACATATACATATGTTATACATATATACATATACATATACATATACATATACATATACATATACATATACATATACATATACATGCATATGCATATGCATATGCAGATGCAGATGCATATACATGTACATGTACATGTACATATACATATACATATACATATACATGTGCATCTACATACACATACACATATACATATACATATATGTATACGTATACATATACACATACACATACACATACACATACATACATACATACATACATACATACATACGCACATGTCTATCTGTAAGACCTCGCGGAAGAGCTTTCCAGGCTGGCTCCACGGTGGCTGTCTTTGAGGGCCGAGCACGCCCTGAGAACGTCTTCGGCTCGTACCCGGTCCATTGGGTGAGTCAAAGCCAGCTGTTTCTAGAAATGGAGGGGTTCAGTTTGGAAGCATAAAGGACTTGTAGTTCGGCAGAACTCTCCAGGTGGTGCTGAACGCCCGGGGCCTGTCGGCCTTGGAGTCCTTGGATCCGGCGATCGCGGCGAAGGCCAAGGAGACCGGACTCTCAGTGAAGGAGCTGCACATCGTGCCCGGCAACAGGACGGTGGCCAAGGTCCCTACCTATGGTACCTGCATCATGCGAGACCAAGCCTCCCATTTGCTTTTAGAGGCAGCGGAGGCTAATGAGAAGATCTCTTTCTTTTGGGAGCACAAGCTCGAGAACATTGATTTTCAGGCTCGGACCTGCACCTTTGAGCTTCCAGATGGCTCGCAGAAGACGGCAGTTTCCCAGCGCCTGGTCGCAGCGGATGGAAACCGCTCGAAGGTTCGGCGCTTGTGCCAGGAGCACGTTGCAGACTTCAGCGCCGATGCAGATCCCTGGGGCTTCCAATTGCGCTTCATGAACTCCAAGGGCGTTCCGGGACAAACTGAGGTCAACACAGACACGCACTTTGTCCTTGGTGACAAAGGCTATGTGTGCCTTCAGCCTAACGGTGAGTGGAGCATATCCCTCCGGGTATTACCAGAATCTGATGAGGAGTTTCTCACGAGCATGGAAGCGACGGATGACAACTTGCAGAAGCTGAAGGAGTACGTTCAGACCCACGCCAAGTTCACGGCCGACAACTTGCTGGATGAGGAGGCTGCAGCCTGAGCTTCCTGGTCGCGAGTCCCGGTCATATGCACAGACGGATTTGCTGAATTGCAGAAATTCTCAGCCGCTTTCAGCACTTCGGAGTGCCAGATCAGGCCTATCGCAAGTTCTATGACTGCAAAGCCTTTGGCGGCGTCGTTGTGAAGTGCTCCTCTCTGAATCCAGCAGGCGACAGTTGCATTTCCGGGTGTTGTCGCATAGGTCACACGAGATTCGGATTGCCTGTATCAGAGCACAACCTTTTATAATATTCAATATATTACAACCACAAGAATGAGGAGAGCCCTGTGTGGTTCGATACACTTGTTTAGAACAATCAGCTGTGACCTCCCGAAGAGCTGGAAAGAGAAAACCCAACATCCAGAAATTTCCCAAAGTACCTGTCACCTGACGGACAGCAGGCTGGATCTGCCTCATCGGAGATGCCGCACATGCCGTGCAGCCAGCCACGGGGGAAGGCCAGGGCCTTGAAGCATTCATGGAACTAGGAGCACGGAATACGCATGGTCTTGCGGAGCTCGCGAGATGCGTCGGCCTCTCGAACAAGGTTAGCATTACCACTACTACTGCCACCACCTTTACCTTTCCCTCGTCGACGACGACCACTACAACAGCAACGGCAGTCACAGCAACAATGACAACAACCAAAACGACTGCTTCTGCTCCTGCTACTGGCACTGCTGCTGCTGTTGTTGCAATGTTAATCGTACTGCTCCTGAGTTCCTGCTTCTGCTCCTGCTGCTACCGCTGCTGCAACTGCTGCTGCTGCTGCTGCTGCTGCTGCTACTGCTACTGCGACTGCTCCGACGACGACGACTACTGCTCTTCTACTACAACTACGACGACGACCACTACTGGTCATACACACACTTGCAGCCGACCAGCGACACTCGCAATACCATAGTCAAACTGGCGGGCATGATCATCATTCATACAATCATGTGCATCAGTGCAGCAGCATCAGCATGATCGCGATCTACTGCATCAACATCAACATCACGACCATCAGAAAGTATGAAAACAAAAGCATCATTGTAATAAACATGACAGTTACGGCACTCACATACACCGTTTCGAAAGGCGGAATGGTACCAGGGCCAAGCTATCTACTTTTATCGATCCCATGCCAGGCATTAACAGCGGCTTGGAGGATGCTGCTGTGCTGGGCATCGTTCTGAAGGCCGGACCAGGGATGGAGGCCTCCATTCCTAAAAGCGAGGCTGTTTGGTTGCATACGCACAGACGGATAGAAGTGGCATTGTTCATGAATCCAAGCTCGTAGATCGGATGCTTCGGCCCTTGATGCTTGCATCCTTCGAGTGTGTCGAGGAGAACGCAGACGATCCATTCGGAGCCTTCGACCGTCAGCAGCGACCGAATGCTCACGCGCTTCAGAAGCTGGCATTGGAGGCCAAGACAAAGCGACTTCGGTGACCTGGGTGACCTAGGTGACTAGGGCCTAGGGACTGGGAGGGGCCGCGTCCCTGTCTGCGAGGCCAAGAGCCGAGTGAGTTTGCCTCCTCCCCGGGAGCAAGCCGTGAACGTCATGGTGACCATTGGCTTAGCTATGGCCAAGAAGCTCCGCATCATCGAAGGCACCTTAAGGAGCACTATCATGTTAAGGATTCCCCTAAGCCCTCCGTGCTGGCGCCGCTGGCGCTGCTTCGGCCCCACTGTTTTGTAGAAAAGAGTCTTGTCTCCCCGGCGAGAGCCACAGTTTGACAAGAAGGCCCCATTTCTCTCGTGAGTCTGCGCTGTTCCAGACCAGCACGTGAAGCCTTAAACCTCAGTTGTGTCCGTGCATCTTGTTTGCCATGCCCTTTGTTACCACGTGAGGTGGGTGTGTGTGTGTGTGTGTGTGTGTGTGTGTGTGTGTGTGTGTGTGAAGGGACGTCTCATCTGTTCACGCAGGACTGTCAAGGCAAACCATGGTGCAGAAATGACTGGATTGGTGTCGCAGCATTATGAGATGCCCTCTTGGGTTCCTTCAACTAGCTAGCAGCTTGCACTTGCAACTGCACTAAGTGCAGCAATACTACATGGAGTTGAACATGAGTCACAGGTGCACTTAACGTCCTGCAAACGACCTAGGGACTGCCTTTGGTGACAGCAATATCGACCATCGCCCGATTGGCAAGCCCGCTAAGCATATCGGCGGGGGTGCACGAAGACAAGATAAACACCCAATAGAGGCCGAGCGAGTGAGCAACTTCATCGCAGCAGTCACTTTCATAGAGCCTGTACCAGGCACAAAGCAGGACTTCATGCTTGGGGAGAAAGCCCAGTCTGTGGGACATCCGGCAGCATCATATAGCCAGTGCATTAGCAAGTAATTTCATGTAATTTCTGTTGAGGGCACTGCATATATGATCGCCTTTGACCCACCTTCCAGGAATCAAGTCATACGACGAGCTCGTGCAAATGGACGAGCGGCAGACGCGGAAGCTTCGACCACTTGCGAATGCCCTGGCGAAAATTTTCCGAGTTCCAAAGGAGCACCCGCCAGCACAGACACTGAGCTAAGCTGCACCAGATGGAACTGCTGACAGGCATTGTGGACAGTCTACTGACGCTTCAGCCAAGCTGATGCGTGCCTACAAGTTGTCAACTCAAATTCGAGATTTTGCGGTGGCTTGATGTGGCGTGAAGCTGAACAAATCAAGCCCGTTCCAACGTACAGTCCGGAACACCCAATTAAACCACGGCCAGCTCCGACACCGAAGTGGTTCGTGGGCGATGGCCCCGTTTGCTGCGTCTGCTACAGCGTAGTGGGGACACCACTCTGGCTACTTGGGCCCTTTGTGTGTTGAAGGAAAACCACGGAGTGTGATCTTGCCCTTTCACCGAGATTCCTCCAGGTGGCTGTCCTTGGATTTCAAAAGCAGCATGCCCATCTGTTGATTTGACCTGGGGTTCAGAGGTTCTCCTGGCGGGTGTCAAGTCTTTCAACTTTTCGTCGCTTGTCGGTTATACCTGGCAGCTTTGGGAACACCCCTGACCGTCACGAGCCCCACACCCGAGAAGGGGCAGCTCCAAACCGCCTCAAAGCTGCATGGAGGCCTCTGGAGTGGCTGGACAGGTTGCTTCCATGGAGGCGATTGCAGGGACAGACTGCGCCTCAGTAAAGTGTCTTCGAGTTGGCACGACATCCTCACAGGCGAGCGGCGCGCCTGCAGTAGATGCTCTCGCACGGTAGAAGTCTATAGTTGTGCCAGTATCCTGGATTTGCGCCGAGCCGACAGCCTGGCGATGTGTCAACTTGAAATCCATGGGCTTTGAAGGAGCCTTCTCCAGCTGCTGTGCCGTGGGGAGAGCAGACCATCAAAGCGCCTTTGACAGATTTTATCGAGGCGGTGTTGTCTGCAATGCCTTGGCAAAGATAGCGGAACAAGGAAGGACATCAGCGGGACGAGAGATGTCCCATGAGCTGTCAAAGTCTCAAGTTGTCGGGATCCATCAGGGGGGAATGTTGGTTTGTGAAGAGAAGGACTTCTGGTTGGTCACGGATGCGGTTTTTTCCACCTCGGAGTTCCAACACTTGCCATGCGTTCACCACGAAAGGCCCTGACATCCTTTGGCCGCTCACGCTTTGGGCATGGATGGTGTGTTCGAATTCTTAGCTGGGATGAAGTCCATCTTTCATTGCAGACTGCAGAAACAGCCAGGATAGCGCAACGGTTGCGGACTCTGCAAGCGCGCGGTCCTCGACTTTCAGCCTCTCTCGGCCCTTTGTGGCTTGCATGTCAAGCCGCTGTAGAAGTTACAAGCGTCTTGTTGACGGGTGGATGCTTCCAGCACACAATCACGTAAGAGGGAGCAAGAAAATGAAGGGCTTCGCTGGCTTCGCATCAAAGCATGTAGTCTTTAGGCGACATGATTCTATTTGCAGTTCCATCGATCCCTAGTAGACCTAGAGGCACCATGGTATCGCTTGGGTCTGTTCATGCCTTCCTGTGAAGACATCTTTGAGATTGCGCTGCAGACTCATCATGTCGTGTCAATCTTTGACTCATCTCTTTTGTTCGCAATCGTTCAAGGGTTTCCTGCACCAGGTCTTCATGACGCAGGAATTGCCCGATGATGTCATGATCTTGCAGACGGAGGAGTGTTCAAGGTTTAGCCTCAGGGTTTCGGGGTCCTACAGGATTTGAAGATTGCTTCTTGCATTCCTTCGATTGCACAGCCATTTCTGGGCAGTAAGCTTGATGTACAGCTGCGCCTGAGCCCAGTACATGCAGTCTCTCAGCACGCCCTCATGGAAGTTCATAGGAGAACGACGGTCCTTTTACGTCAGTGTCCCGAGCCTGGGCAATTGCACACTACGCAATGCTGGCAGCTTCAGATCGCCCAGCCCAGCCATCGGAGGAGATTATTTCTGCTGCAGCCACCAGTTCCACCATACCGACCGGCATGGGAGAAGGTCGAGAGGCCTCCCAGCTTTTGATGAGTTTGCATCAGTCTCCGAAGTACCGTCCGGACAAATCACTAATCAATCTGGCTGTGTGTCTGCACCAAGTAAGACTTTCATCACAGCAGCGGACAGGGCATAGCGTTGCTATGAGCCACACCCAAGCTCATGGAGATAATAACTGATGTCAGCGAACCCCTACGATTGGATTGCGGTCCTCAGCAGCTGCGCATGCAGACCCCCTCGCAATAGCAGATCTCCTTTGGCACCAGGCGATCCAGGCGGACCCTGACCCAGAGGCTCCACCGGCGCCACCCGGCGCGCTTCATGAGTCCGGTACCTCTACACTGGAGGCCGACTCGGAACGATTCGGGGTGTCATACGTATGAACCGTCTGGTTGGTATTTGTGCTACGCATGCAGCCTTGCTTTTAGAGTTCAGGCAGGGTGGACTACGATTTTTCGAGGCTATAGACAGACAGCACATCCAGTTCGCGGATATGTCGCATATAGGCTGGAAGAGGATAGTCACCCAGGGACGTCTGAGTTCCACTGCGTGTCCGTAGTCTCTGTGTACGGCATTCTGCCGGATGGGCCCATAGAAATGCTGAGAGAGTGGCCTTGTCGACTGTTCGAGTAGTTCAGTATGTGTCAAACAATGTTAGACACAGAGAGGCCATTTGTGGGAGCTCGCGCGGCTGGCTTGTCCTCGCACGGAAGATTGGCTTTTGGTGCTATGGTACATTGCCATGTCAGTCGTACATGGATAGCCAGCTTTAGTCTTGCCTGAAACTCGGAAACTCGTTTACGCCACACTAGAGAGCACCCAGAACCTTTGGAGACATCTGTCGCGTTGGAGCCTGGGGCCTGCAGGAAGTCGGACGGTTGGGTCCGCAGCTTAGCGGAGCCAGCAGCCCCAACATGCAGTGCAGGTGGGTGTAAAAACTGGTCGATGAAGCTAGGGAGTAGCTTTGCTTTTGAGTTTCTACCAGTGCGAATGCGGAATCAACGGCTTTGAGAGTTGGTGTGGGCACCCGCAACAGCTGGCATGACAGCAGACGTCTGAACCTCAACTTCTCGACCACCTGAAAGTACAGACTGTGCCGATAGAGGCCTTAAGGAGCAGCCTTAGGACTAAACGGAAGAGGCCCTTGCACGCTGACGGCTCTTCTCGACATTCGTTGGCACATAATTTGGGTCCTACCTGGATTGGGGGTAGTGTAGGGTTGCCGCTTTGATTTAAGCTTGTTCGCTACACAAGTCGCTCGGCCGCTGTGATTTGCCTCCAACAACTCTGCAAGGTGTAATGCATTGGCATCAGAATGCCCGCCCAGGTGCTGAGAATCGTGCTTTGCGTGCGGAGGTGGAGAGGCTACACCAGGCATCCCTGCTGTGATGCTGCCAAAGTCGGAGAGTGGGAAGCCTTCGGGTTGCGAGAACTGTAGGTCGTAGGCTGCTGGAAGTGTCGCTCGTGACACGGCTCGTGACCGTATGTGGCCTAAAGTAGATCTCAGGTAGCTAGCAGCACATTTTGGGGTTGGCGAGTCGCACGTCTTTATCAGCAACAGTGCAGACTTGCAACTGGCATGCCGCTGCTGGTATATTAGTTTTGGGCGATGGCTGCCAGTATGGTTTCACAGGCAACATGCTGTGCGTTGCTGCCGCATCGCTGTAGACATTTCGGCAAGTTAGCCCTGACCAACGTAGTCCAGCCTGCCTCGCTTGTGTAACAACACAAACAAATCATTTCTGAAAGCAACATGAATCAAAGAAATGATTTGCAGATACGAAGCTCTTTGGCGAATCTTGAAACGGCAAATCACACCTCAAAGCACTTGTGCCTTCACAAGTGTGCCTCCAACCTACCGGCCCGGTACAGTAGCCTCTCAATGTACACAGCAACGAAATCTGCCACCGGTCATCCGATCATGTCTTGATGCGCGGTGCTTGACGAGCTCGCGCAGGACCCACGGCAGCGAGATTTTAGTTCACAGCTTTGCGACTTTGTCTGCGGAGTCAAACGTGCAGACGTCCAGCCTTTTCTGTTGTGTCTGTGCGTCGACGAGGCTCAGGGCCCTGAGGGATCATCTTTCGGACATGTGCAAAGGGAGCTTTTTATCTGTCGACTGCGCTTGAATGTTAAGTGCCAGTATCTGCACAGGCTCCAGCAAAAGGACCTGCAGACGAACAATTCCGAAGTTCACCGATGATTCCTGTATGTTTGGGGTTCAGGATTTGCAAAGCGCGTAGCTTAGCTATGGGCATCTCTCACAGGGAAGTCTTGGCGCCCTGCACAGGACAGCCATGGGCTTGGAGGATCTCGGGTTCAGCACGAGGCAGTATGCAGCTAGGGGCTTGGGAACTCAGACTCTCAAGCTGAGAGATGGTTGGGAAGATGCCGAAAGGACTTCTATAAGGTCCTTCAACTTAGAAGATACCAATAGAAGCCTTGCTGGCCGTATTTCAGCTAGGCCGCCAGGCCGGGGAACTGTGCTCAGCAGTCAGCAGCCACACCCCTTCATCCATATCCTATGCAAACATGAACGAACCCATCAGTTTTTGGGAATCCCAATCAGGAGGCCTAAGCTCGCCGGTTCGTGTGTCGTCTAGCTCCCAGCTGTATCATTGGAGTAGAGGCGCTGCAATCTATCATGGCATTGCTGCGTATGTATCCGTGTACGCATACGCACGCGCGCATATTCTGGTTCCGCATGTGTAGCAGTGTAGCCGAATGAGCTAAATTGAGAGGATTGCTTGTTCTTACTGCGCATAGTCATCGTCGTCGATCGACTGCAATTTCAACATTGTTTTATAACTTTATAACCCTGCAGAGTGTCTTGGCTTTGCATGTATGAAACGATTGATGCACGCTCGCGTGTACTCTATACAGCTGTGACAAGTATGCAAGCAAGCATGCATGTTGCTTACACTGGTACATGCATGCGTACATGCTTGCATACATGCATCCATTCATCTGTTCATCCGTCCATCCATCATCATCCATCCATCGATCCGTTCGTTCAGTCATTCACTCGTTCATTCCTTCCTGAGCTCCCTTCACTCACGCGTCCTTTCTTGTGTTACTTCTTTCGTTCCTGCATTCATGCAGTCATGTATTCGTTATGATGTCTTTCGTATTTCGTGCGCTCATTACTTACTTACTTGATCACTTCGTTCATTCGTTCGTTCATTTATTCCTCCAGCGCTTAGTTTCATACGAGCGTGCATATGTCTGCACCGCAACCTCGCCCTGAGCGCACAGACTTACCGTCCGGAAGCAGTAGGTAGTTCTGAGCACTGTGCAGTGTGGCGACTTGCCTCGTATGGGCATTGCGAGCGCTGCTGCCTGTGGCACTGTTTCTGACTTTCGGCTGCACCTGGTCATTTTGCGGGGAAGGCCGTGCTACATACATTCATCACGCTACTTCTAGTTCTACTACTACTGTACTACTGTTACTACTGTATTACTGCTACTACCACTACTACTACTACTACTACTACTACTACTACTACTACTACTACTACTACTACTACTACCACTACCACTACCACTACCACTACCACTACCACTACCACTACCACTACCACTACGACTACTACCACTACTACTGCTACCAGTACTACTATGTCTACTTCTCCTACTACTACTACTACTACTACTACTACTACTACTACTACTACTACTACTACTACTACTACTACTACTACTACTACTACTACGAACTACTGCTACTACTACTACTACTACTACTACCACTATTCCTACTACCACTACCACTACCACTACCACTACTACTACTATACTACTCCTTCCCTTCCCAATCGTGAAGGTCCGCAGGCGTCCTGACGTGCCTCCTTACTACTCCTCCTACTCCTACTCCTACTTCTACTGCGTTTGCTCTTGCGGGGTTAAGTGGGAACTTGCCAACCAAAGATTTGTTTGCATCGACTTGAGTTCTCACATCAGCCCAAACTCGTTGCCGTGCTGCTATCTGATCGTGATGTATTTGAGGATTTGGTATGCCACGCAGCCGCCGCCGGCGATGCCAACATGCTTAAAGTTGAAGCGCAATCGCTAGTCACCACTCGCATGATGTTGATTGTAGTCGCAGATCTCTGCATCTTGCTGTATGTACAAGGGCATTCTGGCCTTCGCTTAAAAGGCTTGCCAAGACACACCCGACGATTCCTGAGTGCAATCTCAGCTAATGCTGTCTCTGTTGATCCCTATACAACGAAGTTGAACCGCCGTTGCAGAGTCACAATGTACGGGAGAGCGGAATTGTGTATACATATAGGTGTGTATATATATATATATATATATACATATATATACACATATATTTATATTTATACGTATATACATATATATATATAGATATGTATATATATATATATATATAGGTTGTACGTTCATACATACATACACATGCACATACATACATACATAGATACATACATAAATGCGTACATACATGCATACATACATGTCCCTGTTCCTGAATGCGTGCGTAGAGTATATGCAGTGGAAATCATGGCACATGAAGGCCGCACTACTGGTCATGATTTTGCTAGCGATGTACTGATGGTATGCATGTGTGTCATCGTGCTACGGTGTATGTACAAGTATGACTGACCCGAGTCGCGTTGTGAAGTCAACATGACTAATTATTCGGAGTTTCCCATGCATCACCAACTAAGCAATGCAAGCCTGATCTGAAGAGAATCTGGGAGCCGCACATCATCTCAAAACACACAGGCGCGAACGTGAAAGAGTTGTGGAGTAGCAATACGCCAGCCGAAGCAGCCTCCTTGAGCCTGATGCGGCGAAGATCCGACAAACTGCAAAAGCTCCCCCAGCCTGTCGATTCATTTCGCACACAGACCTGTCGCGAACGCTTCAACAGTTTGGAATGTTTCGAACACGCCCATCTCCTCCTCTCCCCTTCCGTCCCTGCCCCTGGCAGAGGAATCCTGAAGCCAGCAACACCGAATCCAGTTTGTGCAAGTGCACCTTTCTATCTCGGGCAGATCCCATACTTTAAGCAACAATCCGTGGAAGTATTTCGATCTCCTGTTGCATGCCTCTCTGATAATGGACCTCAGCGACAGCATGAACGACAAACGCTCGGGATTTTTTGCGCTGCGCATTGTGTATTTCCAGAGCTAGCATCGCAACGCGAATCTGCTTACAGCATACCATTCACTGGCCAGCCAATCAATCAAGCACTCAATATTGGATTCTGTTGATTCGTTGCTTATTGATTTATTTGTGTTCAGCTTGTTGTGCTGTCCCTTCTTTATTATTGGTGGTTATAGGTATACATGTTAGTTGTATTTTATCCATCTACGCATTTTCATATGCAGACACGTATACATATATCATATGGGGTCTCCGATAGTGCATCGATTACTGCGTATGGTATTTTGAAGCACTGTAGTCTCTGCCAGGAGCGCTACGATCGGACCCAGCTCCTGGCCCTGCGACAGGTGCAGGGGGAGTTGCGATGCGGGCTTTGGGTTCCAGGCTTGGGTGTGCTGCAGGAATTGTGCTTGAATTGGAAGTATGCGTTTGGGTTTAAGGTGCGGGACCCGGGTTCTGCAAATAGGGTTTCGTAAGGACGCGGTATGTTCGCCCGAGCTGTATCTTCCGATGTTGCCGCAGACACTGCTCATTCGGGCGTCCAGGCTCCGGGAAGATAGGGTAGTCGCGTCAGACACATGTCTCTTCAGAGTTCGTCAGGACCCTGAGTAAATTCGGGGTTCAGGTAGTTTCGGGTTCATGAACTGCCTCCGAGGCACCTGGCAAGGCTCCGCCTGCGGAGCTGCGATCGCTGCATCTTCAAGAGGCGCTGCCTGCACAGGTTCTTTTCACACACGGTTTCAGACGCTGTTGCTTCTTCTCGCAACCGATGTTAAGCCTTGCTGTATCCTGCGACACGCATTCACCGGGTATGCTGTGTTTGTTCGCCGGTGCTTCTGCAGTGGAAGCCGAGCACAAGTGTGTATGATCATAGCTGGCTAAGCATTTGTACAGCCAGCTGTTACCATCCTCCGTGATAGTCATCATGGTCATTGCATGTTCAAAGCCATGACAATCATCATCGTCGTCGGCATCATGTTCGTCATAGTAGTATCCCTTCCTTGTTGTTTGTTCGATGCCAGTCTCAGTATCAACCGCTGCTGCATCAGGAGGAACAGCAGCGTCACTCAACACTCTGGAACTTCTGTTCTGTACAGTCACCGGACAGTAAATTGAACTTGACAAGACTAGCTCCGTGCTCCAGACGCATCGGGTCATCTATGCCAGTTTTGTCTTTTGTGAAAGGTCCATGTGGAGCCCCAGACTGCAGCCCGTCCCCCGCGCAAGCCGCACGGGCA